TCTCAGCTGCTGGTCCAAGATTGTTCTCAGGATGGAAGGCACGTGAAGAGAGCAGAGTCTAGTTTAGAAAGATTCTAGATCATCTGTGCTAGGAGACAAAGTTCTGATCCGATGGCTGAGCGATGCTGTAGCTGGTTCTCCTCAAGGCGGGACCACAGCTGCTGAGTACTTCTCGTTCGTGAAGTGTCAGACGTTGCTAGGCAAAGTGATTTTCAGAAGTTCACCTATTTTGTCAAGCCAGGCCTAGCAACGTCTGACAGTTCACGACCCGGAAGAACTCAACAGCTGTAGTCCCACCTTGAGGAGAACCAGCCGCAGCACTGTTCAGCCATCGGGTCAGACCTGTGTCTCCTAGCACAGGTGATCTGGAATCTTTCTGGACTGGACTCTGCTCTCTTCATGTGCCTTCCATCCTGAGAACAATCTTGGACCAGCAGGTGAATTCTGACTTCCATCTGATGTGTGACAGGCGAGATTTTTTTAAATATCCTGTAAGTGCATTACTTTTTACTTTTTTTTTTTTTTTTTTTTTTTTATTAAACAATTACTTTTATTCTGCACTTAGACCTGTGCACTGGTTTTTATGTTTCCCTATCCAACTAACCGGGCTGCAGGATAAGTGCATACATTATTTCTGGATTAACTGCTAATATAACCGGAGCTCCTTTAAGTCTTTTAATGTACAGTCCATAACCAATCGAACTAGTTGCGCAAGTTGGTGACTTCTGTTTTATGCAGATTGGTTAGGAGTTCTGATTTCACTTGCTGCACTTCTTACAGTGGCACTTTGCATCCTGCTACATAAAAAATGAAACCATTTTTTTCAGTGCACACCACCGCATTCCCACCACAGTGCAGTGGTGTAAATGGTGCCCATCTGTGACAAAGCAGATCCCTTGTCATGCATTGGGGCTGCGCTGGAAACAGCCAGCACAGCCCCTACACATGTGATGAGAAGTCGCCCTTGAAGTCGGAGACAACCTGGAAACTGGCAAAAATACGAAAGTCAGCAGTGACGGCACCCTTTTTACTCTCTATTCCTTTTACAGCTCTAAATGTGCACCCAGCTCCTTTTTATCTGCATCAAGTTCTTTCATTAGGCTTCTTAATACTGCCACCTCAAATTTTCCTCCATTCCAATTACTATGACATTGCAGATATTACACTAATGCAGTTCCACCTGAAGTTAGAAACACAAAGTAACCGCATCATTAAAGTGTCATTTGTAAGATTAAACCAAGTTTTGGCAACCGTATGCATTCTGCAGCTGCCTCACAGACCTGGAATGAATGGACTTTGTGAAAATATAAGAATCGTAATGAGTATTTTGTAAAAGTATTTGAGCTTTTGTCCTTTGCATGTCTGTGTGAAATTCAGAGTGCTTTTCTAGTGTTCGTGCTGTATCTGTGTATGCCTTGTTCGTGCTGTATCTGTTTATGCCTTGTTCGTGCTGTATCTGTGTATGCCTGTCTGCTGCAGAAAATATATATGGCTGGTTGGGTGGTTTGTCCCCTCTCCTTACAATTCACCTATTCTAAGATTGATGGCTGCCACTGACACATTCTTGCAATTTGTATGTTCATGTTGTGTTTGCATGGGATTCTTCGGAATGATTCACCTTCCTCTCATATTCTAAACAAATTATTAGAAGGTTAACTGCTGCCTGGCCAAACAGGTCCTAGAACTAGTGTGTGTGTGTGTGTGTGTGTGTGTGTGTGTGTGTATGTATGTATTTGTATGTGTGGGGTAAAGACTTTAGACTGTAAACTCTTTTTGGGGCAGGGATTGATGTGAATGGTTGTATGTACTCTGGAAGCACTATAAAGGTTTAGTAAATAAAAGATACCAATAAATAATGGCTCTGTGTAAACCTGTTTTTGCAAAAGCCAACATAATAACTATATATATATATATATATATACACTTTTTTTTAAAAAACCTTTGCTTTATTTGTTCTTGTATAGTAACAATTCTACACTTGTGTATAAAAATATTCATATGATTGATCATGTGGCATTCAAATGATGTATGTTTCATGCATGTGTATGTATGTCAGAGGTTTAGCGAGGAATGCCAGTGGGATTTCAAATACTGGAACATATTCATTTATTTAATACATATTTCCTATGCTCCTCAACTCCATAATGCGGTATTACATTACATTCCACCTGAAAAGAAACCATGCGTAATATAGAAGTACGTTTGTTTTTGCCTCTGATCACACAGAACGAATGGGCTGCAGAAGTGGACCTTGCTTTTTCATGCAATGCCTACTTTATGGCATATTCCTGGATAACCGTAAATATGTGGATGCACAAACATGGTTGAATTTACAGTATTTAGCCCTGTAAGTACTGATTCCATCATACTGACAGTAGCAGCATGATCAGTATGTACTGGGATACAGGTTTACATGGGTAGATATGTATATTAAAATGAATAGTTATGCACATATAAGCATTTCATCCATGTGATACAGAAATTAGTATTTGAAAATATTGAAATACACACGCTTACCGTATTTCCTTTGAAGACGTCATCTATACTAAGGAAATGTAGGGCCTTATTTGCTGCGTACTCGATTATAGCACATAGTCACCCATACTTGAGGCGTCGCGCCGTTTTCTTCAGTGTGCTTTTGTGTGAAATCTCAACAAGTTGAGCAGTTCCTGGAGGGCTGGATGGGTTTAAACGCTCCTTTGACATCTGCCCTGCAACAGTCAAGATGGTGACTTACAAGGGGAGAGACATCTGAAAGAAAAAAGGCAAGTTCAATATTCAATTGGAGTACTGAATGTTTTTATTTATTTTTCTGTCACTGTATTACGAAATATACAAAATATAGTAGTAAATAATATTGTAGCTGCTTATTGATGTTTTTATTCTGTTGTATATAAATGGACATTTGTAGCAGCAGAAGACGTATTTGAGTACAAGGTATATGTCATTTGGAAAGATTAATAGGAGTAAATATATCAGGCGGGGGTGTATTTCTAAACAATTCTCTGTGAAGTGTCAGCATTCACTCAAAGGTTGTGAATAACGCCCTTGCAAAGGTTTTTAATATATGCAAAATGCATAATTGTCTTTCGCAGGGTGAATATAACATTCATTTAGCAAATCATGTTTGTTCCAATGTTGGCAAATTGAGCTGTATGGATTTCTCTGGCGAATGTAAGCAGTACTGGATACTAAGCACATTCGATCCTAAAAGAAAATTACCCTAAGATCAGAAGAGACTATTTTAAAGCGTATTTCCACTTTCTCAGCCAAATTGGGATAACACATATTTTATGTGTGTTACATGTTCCCACATAGTATAGGCGAAAAAATATTTAAAAAATGCTTCTTGCAGCTTTTACCTGAGTTAGGGATTGTACTTGGCTTCTTAAGGGTTAAGTGCTGCGTAAATTGTCGGCGCTATATAAATACCTGTAATAATAATTTCTACTTGCTTCTTTGTACTGTTAGGAGGGGTTGTGAGGGATTTGTTAACTTTATCTCTACCATGCCATTTCATTGAGATTTTTAAAGTAGATTTGATCACTGTCTCTCCTAATAAAGGATTACAGCCCTGGCTCCAACATTCACATGTTAATGAAGCTATTTAGAGGAACACAATCCTAAAATGTCAGTCCTAAATCCTCTATAAGGACAGATCACTGTGAAAGTGATTACAGAAAATCCTGTAACCAGCATATAATCCCTGCTGCAACAAAACATCTAAAAGCTATTAAATATTTTTTTAAACATTTTTTTGATATGCTGTGTGAATGAGAACACAGCGACTTGAAAAGTGGAAATGCACTTTTAAGAACATTCGATTTTGCCCCATTCGCACAACAGCCACAACTTTATACATTGTCCAAAAAATCCCTACGAACGAATGAGCAAATGCTGGTTAATTCACACAGAACGATCTACATGCAGTTTTTGCTGAACGAATAGCTTTGCATATGTTTTATAAATAGACTCCTAAATTTACAAGTGGTCCTTGAAACTTGGAACGATTTATGAAAACTGAAGCAAAATGTTTAAATCTGCTAATCTAACATTGAGAAATACATGTATAAAATCACCGTGCTGTGGTTTATCATATTGTGCTTTGCTTCAGTTTTCATAAGTCAAATCCATAGATTTAGTTTTTTTACAAATTGACACAAAAGAAGGATAATTCTTCCTTCCTTTTATGTTTTCTCATTTTTATTAGAATTCTTGTGTTCATTTTATATGTATGTATGTATATGTGTATGTATGTATATGTGTATGTGTGTATATATATATATA